CCCCCGTTACCCCGGTTTTTTACGGTTTCCCGTACCTTAGTCGTACTACTTTACGTTACGTCCCCTTGTACTACACAATGTTTACCTTAATATAAATAGTTTTGTCCTTTGGACCAATGAAAACAACAGCAGCATGTACAATTCAATAATCACCAACATTTGAAGACACTCAGTTTTTTTAGAGATTTAAAGTAGAAACAAAAGCAAATATTAAGTAAAGAACCAGAGAGAAAACACAGCTAAATCGCAGAGATAATGCAGAAAAAAAGAAAACGAGAGAAAACCTTAACTTAGCCACTGAAATCACAGAGAAATATTACAAAAAGTTTGTACAAGAAATGGAGTAAAAGGAAGAGGAGACGAGATGTGAAGAAACAAGAATGAAAAAGTAACGCTTGGTCTAAGGCTTTTGTTATTGAGCGTAGTGTTAGAATTACGAAAAAAAACCTATAAGGGTTACAAATGTAAAATTATTGATCAACTCAAAATAGTTTAAAAGCCAAAAAATCATAAGTTGAGATTGCTCAACTTATGGCTTTTCGTTAGTTTTCAGCATTTTATAATTTAATTTAAGCATTTTTTATGTTGTCAAACACAAAAAATAAAAAATTTAAGCTTTGTTTGACCCGCCTAAAAGCCAATCCAAACGGGCTCTTCTCATTCATGTCATTCATTATCAGTTTCTTCCTCCTATAAATGACGGATCTAGACTAGACGCAAATTCGGTAGAATCAATTGCATCTAACTCAAACTTCATATGTGTGTGCTCGCCCGCATGTGTGCGAGTGCAAGGAAAAAAATTCGAAAAACCCACTAATTCAAACCCACCTTTTTCGACACGTCACCTTTTTCGAACAAGTGCCTTACTACGGAGCTCGGGGCTTTGAGATTCCCTGTGATGGTGGGCCATTATGTTCCCTCGTCTCCCCTTAGAGGGGAAGGGTGGAATTATTGAGGAGTTTATGTGAGACAACATCAGAATATTCCAATTTAATAGAGTCATTAACCTTACAACATGATGAGAAATACAACGGACTTAAAAAGTTATGCTATACTGCTATATGAAATTCTTTTGGGAAGAAGAAATGAAGGCACATTCCAAATTCAAAGTTCACTATTCTAAGAAATTTATGTGTCCACTTCATGCACATTTTCATCATAAATTTTCATAGCTAACCTTGAAAGATTATTCTCTAGCTTCTGCTATGTATTGACTTCATATGTGATTACACACCGGTAAACATTAAAATTCCACGGGTTTCAAGGACATCTGAGGGTTCAACGCCCTCCTTGAGCCGAAGGTCTACCAGAAACAACCTCTTTGCCTTTTAAAGGTAGAGGTAAGGTCTGCGTACACTTTACCCTCCCCAGACCCCACTTGTGGACTACACAGGGTTTGTTGTTGTTATTGCTGTTGTTGTCATCTGAGGGTTCAACAGAACATGAATTCTGAAGATCAGTGGACAAAGGCCGACTGCACAGAACAAATGGCAAAGGTTTCAGAAGGACTTTCCTGTTGCAGAAAATTGTGACAAAAGCAAAATCAGTGCAAAGTTTGAAAATGGCATTCTTCATGTCAAACAGCAAAAACTGATAACTTCAACAGTGAAAAGGCCACAGAAGCTGAGAATACCCTTGCTAAAAGACAGAAGACCTCTTTAAGAGATGAATTTACCAAGCAGGATAATGCTGATAATACTCTTGTTAAACAGCCAGCCAAAAAAAATGCACACTAGTCCTAAAGCCAGTGAGCAAACAGAAGCTAAAAATCTTGCAGAAAAATCACCAACAGATAAAAATAGTTCAAGTAGTTCTTACCGTGAATATGAATATGAATCAACAGATGATTCGACCGATGATGAAACGACCAGAGATGCTAGCTGTTGTCGTGCGAAACTAAACCGTAAGACCAACGGAAAAGGTAAGGTTGGAA